AGCCCAAACCAGCTTAAATCAGCATAAACCAGCATAAACCTGTGAAAATAAGATTTCAGTTTGGATGGTTCTGTGATACAACAGACCCAGCAGACTGAGTTTATCTGTGCAGTGCTGCTGGCTGTACTTGTGATGCTCTGTGTGTCCAGCAGATGGCAATATTGTCTGCATGATTTAGTGATGGCGGCTTGGTCCTAACTGACCGCTCAGAGTGAGTTTGTTCCAGCAGAGGCTGATTAATAACAGAATCCTGAAATGGTGATCTATACGTGATTTACACTCTGAAAGACTGATGATTGAATGTAAACACTGTTTAAAGTGTGGAATCACTCGTCATATTAATGATTGCAGTTATTTATTCAAACAGTACAGAATGAAATACAGTTATCTCGAAAGCAGGAGGCATTTCAGGGTGTTTTACTGAATATTTCAACAGCAAAAAGTTATTAAATGATAAATAGCAAATTGTGGTTATTTATTTTTTGTACTTTATTGATGAACTTGATTTCTTGGCTGCTGAGACACAGGGGGCGCTAGATTAAGGGGACTGCTTTAAAGAGGAAACTTATTTTGTTAATCTGCTTATGCTTTTGTTATTGGGTCCTATGAGAATTTATTATTGACTGTGTTGGTCATTCGACTGACAGATTGTTCCGTGTTTCCTCAGCTGAATCTGAGTTATTTGGAGTACACTGGTGTCAGAATTGGGGCAGATTTTTCATCAGCTCCTTAACTTTGGTAGAATGACTAACCTGTGAATTTCATGAATAAAAAAATGTTTCTGCAGTGTCTTTAAAAGACCCACAGTCCACAGAATCGTATTCTAGTCTATGTTAGCCTACGCACTTCTTAAATGATTTGCCATCTACTGTAGCTGCCACAGTGCTATCTAAACTTCTACAGTGACACATTAATTCAAAGTCTGCTTATGAACAATTTACTTTCAGCAGGCAGTAATAAAGCCCTACTAAATAGAAACACAAGCTTTGGAATGTGGTATAAAACGTGTTAATAAGGTCTCCTGTATATTTATTACTGACTAATAAGTCTGTGTAATGACAGGATGCTCATTCATAACGTCCTTTACAGCCTGATACTGATTTTCACAAACTGGCTCGGCTCCTTTATCATGGTGGCCTGCGATGCAGAGGCTCATGGGAACTCAGGGCTGAGAAGGACACACCAGTGCATCCTCAGAATTCGGCCGAAAGAGTCAAGTCAGAGTTTATTTATAGAGCTTTTTACAGCAGGTGTTGTCACAAAGCAGCTTTACAGAAAAATCCGGGTCTGAGCCCCCATGAGCGTCGCCAATGGCGACAGTGGCAAGGATAAACTCTCTAAGAGCAGGAGGAAGAAACGCTGAGAGGAACCAAGACTCAAAAGGGGAACCCATCCTCCTCTGGACCACACCGGACAGCAAACAGCATTTCTCAATGCTCAATCTGTGTCTCGCAAATGAGACACAGCGGCCCTTTCTGTCTTGATCAAGCAGAGAAGTTGAGTTTTTCCAGCTTTTTATCCCGTTTAAATTATGGCTTAGAATTCATTTTTTAAAATCTGCCTTTGGTTAAAGATCGCAGTTCTTTGAGATACACTACATGGCCAAAAGTATTAGGACACCTAGACATCACACCTACAGGAGCCTTTATGACTCCCATTCTAAATCATAGGCATTAATATGGAGTTGGTCCTCCTTTGCAGCTCTAACAGCTTCCACTCTTCTGGGAAGCTTCAACAAGATGTTGGAGAGAGTCTGTAGGAATTTCTGCCCATTCATCCAGAAGAGCATCTGTGAGGTCAGACACTGATGTTGGACGAGAGGGTCTGGCTCACAAACTCCGTTCTAGTTCATCCCAAAGGTGTTAGATGGGGTTGAGGTCAGGGCTCTGTGAGGGCCAGTCGAGTTATTAATATAGTTATTAATATAAGGTATACACACCAAACTCATTCACCCTTTATGGAGCTGCTTTGTGCACTGGGGCTCAGTCATGCTGGAACAGGAAAGGTTCTTCCCCAAACTGTTCCACAAAGTTGGAAGTGTACAATCGTCAAAAAAATGTCTTGGTGCTGAGTCATTAAGATTTCCCTTCACTGGAACTAAGGGTTCTAGACCAACCCCTGAAAAACAGCCCCATATCATCATCCCTCCTCCACCAAACTCTACAGCTGCACAGTGCAGTCAGGCAGGTAACGTTCTCCTGGCATTCGCCAAACCCAGACTCGTCCATCAGACTGACAGATAGAGAAGCTGATTGGTCACTCCACAGAACACGTTTCACTGCTCCAGAGTCCAGTGGTGGCGCTTTACTCCACTCCATCCGACGCTCGGCGTTGTGCTTGATGATGTAAGGCCTGCTCAGCCATGAAGCTCCCGGCTCAGTTTCTGTGCTGATGTTGATCCAGAGGAGGTTTGAACTCTGCAGTTATTGATCAGCAGAGCGTTGGTGTCTTTTATGCTCTGTGCTCCTCAGAACTCGGAGACCCGCTCTGTAGCTTTACATGGTCTGACACTTCGTGGCTGAACTGCTGTTCCTAAACACTTCCACTTCTCAGTGATTCACTCAGTGAAAATCTAGCAAGGAAGAAATTTCACAAACTGACTTCTCGTAACGGTGACGCCTTATTACAGCACCACACTGGAACTCACTGAGCTCTTTAGACCCGTTCTTTCACTAATGTGTGTGAAGGCAGGCTGCATGGCTGGGTGTTTGATTTTATACACCTGTGGCAAAGAGACTGAATGAAACACCTGCATTCACTGATTAAAAGGAGTGTCCCAATACTTTTGTCCGAGACGTTATTGAGTGTCACACACTAACCTGCAAGTCAGCTCAGAGAAGATCTGCTGCTGCCGTGTTGTACTCAGCATCTCCACCAGGGGGCAGTGTGGGGCAGTTCATCAACACAGTTAGGCTCAGCCCTCTGAGCAGATCTTCAGCGCTGTGGTTTTCAGAATTACAGGGCGGTTTAACCCCTCAACCTGCAGGATTATCATTCAGCGGTTAATCTGATGGCTTATTATTCAGTATCTACTATGAAACGGATCTGTAAAGTCTAAAACCAGCGCGCTGAGAATGTTTCAGCGTCTGTCAGCAGCGCAGTCGCACTGCAGCTAATGCAGCTGCACACAGTACGGTCATACACTCGTCCTGCACTTCTCTCAGAGCGGAGTGTGTGTGTGTGTGTGTGTGTGTGTGTGTGTGTGTGTGTGTGTGTGTGTTTTTATTGAGCATGCTGTGTGTGACCGTCATTAACTGCCAAATTAAGCTTGGTGCAGTAATACACACTCAGGCCTGCTAATTGCGGTGGAATAAGCAGAGGACGGTCTCTACGCACACACCGTCTTAATGACCAGACCAGCCTTGCTTCGCTCGTTATGCTAATTTCACTGGCTGTTTGAATCCCAGGGCCGCTGTGTTCCCCTGTGGATTAATTGGTTTGCCGGTCAAGTGCTGAGGTCAACCCCAATTAGCGCAGAAATACCAAACACATTCTGCAGTCTGGGCTCAGCGCAGCCCCGCCCTGCTGGAGGGGGCAGGAACTGCCTACATGCGCAATATTTACACCAGCATGTGAGATGAATAATATCACACGTTGTTATAGCTGATTAAAACTGGGATTAAACGAACACAAAAATGTAAACATCGTAAACATGCCTGCTGTCCTCCTACAGTCAAATCCAGAGCTCAGTTTTTTAGTTTAAAGACTAGAAAAACCCCTTTATTGAAGGTGGGAGGAAAGTTTAAACATCTAGAACGGATGGACGTTTGTGGGCGGGATCTTTTAGTTTTTTGCTTGTTAAATTCAGAGCAGAATCAAACATAACTGGATACATCATCTGATAATGCACCAATTTTGTCAGTTGCACTAATAGTAGGGTCAATTATTAAACCAATATAACAATTTACTGTTCGAACTGGAGGAAGTTTTTAGACATCCAACATTTAATATCCCTGAAACAGTCAAAAATAATGAAATATGTGCAGATCTGATCGTATGAACGTATGAACTGTTCTGTCTTATGAAACTTTCGTATGACGTGGAAATGAGCAGAGATTTGAGCTCAATCAGCTCCAGTGTGTGAAATCAAGCGCCAGCCTATCTTCACCTCATTTATATATCATTTACATGAACCATACCCAGATGCAGATGCAGATGTTTTGGTACGGAGCCAACAAAATAACAGTATTCAGGGAGTCAATGGCTGTGTTTGTAGGCGGAGTTTGAGGTGGAGTGGTGAGTGCGCTGCTCCCCCTACTGACCAAACTTTATAGTGGTAAAATTACAACCACTGGACAGAAAAATAAACAAAACATCTTAGTGTTTCTAAGACATTTGAATGACTCTGTATTGTGACTGGTTTCCTAAAATAAAATTAAACGCAGTGTATGAGATGCTTCTGCATTAACTTTTTTTTATTTTATTTTGTGGGTGGAGTCAATAAAAGCACAGTGTTGTCTTGTAAAATTGAATTTTGTTTATACCAGTGTGCATGTAAAATAAGTATCCACTTTATACTGGACTGCCATTCTCATAAATTATTAGTGTTATTGTTATTAATTAATTTTATTCTAATTATCAATATTATAGATGATACTAATAATAGTGTTGGTTACTTAACTGCTAAATGTTATGATCAAATTTTTATAGTGTATAGTTTATATGTAATATTTGAAAGACAACCCCAACAAAAAGCATAAATAGAGTGAAAACAGAACTGGGCCCAAAATGGATCCCTGAGGTACACCACAACTGATAGCTGCCAGAAGAAAAATGTTGCCAACCTTAAAAGAAAATAGAAATTTTTAAAGTAAGAGGCAAACAACTTTAGAGCAGCCCCCTGGATACCAACACCAGAAAGTCCAGTCTGGTTTTAGAGAACGCTGTAGTACACAGTCTCGCCTCCTCAAGGTATTCAAGGACCTACTGTTAACTGGGGATTCTGCACTGGACACTGCTTTTGAGTGTGTTGTTTATGTATTGCTATTTGTTTCGTTCAGTTAAGGAGGCGAAGAACCTGGTGCCCATGGACCCCAACGGCCTGTCTGATCCGTACGTCAAACTCAAGCTGATCCCGGACCCCAAAAGCGAGAGCAAACAGAAAACTAAAACCATCAAGTGCTGCCTGAACCCCACATGGAATGAAACTTTCACATTGTAAGAAACTTTACTGAACTTTGCCTTCCATACATTACATACCCACATAAAGGGTCTCTGAGCTGCTTCTATAATAGATCATGCACAGATTAAATTCTCTTTCTAATCTCTCTCTCTGTCTCTCTCTCTCTCTCTCTCTCTGTCTCTCTCTCTCTCTCTCTCTCTCTCTCTCAGTAATCTGAAGGACTCTGATAAGGACCGCAGGTTGTCTGTGGAGGTTTGGGATTGGGACCTGACCAGCAGGAACGACTTCATGGGCTCTCTTTCGTTCGGCATCTCAGAGTTACAGAAACAAGGAGTGGACGGATGGTGAGACTGTTTCTACATAAAAGACAACTGACTTCTCTAGGCTCCGCCCACAAAGTGTGCGGGTAAAACTGTAGAACAGACTCAGTTTATATCACAGTACCTACATTTAGAGTCAGTTATTCATTCAGCCTAATAAGAAACTATAGAACAGACTCAGTTTATATCACAATACCTACATTTAGAGTCAGTTATTCATTCAGCCTAATGAGAAACTGTAGAACAGACTCAGTTTATATCACAATACCTACATTTAGAGTCGGTCATTCATTCAGCCTAATGAGAAACTGTAGAACAGACTCAGTTTATATCACAATACCTACATTTAGAGTCGGTTATTCATTCAGCCTAATGAGAAACTGTAGAACAGACTCAGTTTATATCACAATACCTACATTTAGAGTCAGTTATTCATTCAGCCTAATGAGAAACTGTAGAACAGACTCAGTTTATATCACAATACCTACATTTAGAGTCGGTTATTCATTCAGCCTAATGAGAAACTGTAGAACAGACTCAGTTTATATCACAATACCTACATTTAGAGTCAGTTATTCATTCAGCCTAAGGCTTGTGATTTCAGGGTCTGTGTTTGAGGGTCAGCAGCTCAATCCAGAGCTTTGGCATCAGCACAGATTTTTAAAGTCTCTTGTTCCAAAGCATCGCGTCTCCTGTGGTTTTATTCATCACGTCATCAGTGATCAGTTAACATTGCCTTGACTTTCATCATATTACTGTCAACTTTAAAGAATCTGAAGCTGTGCAACGTCTGGTAGCTGTGAAAGGACGCGAGTGGGCGGATGTGGAGAACGCAATCATGATAATCATGATAAAATGATGCCACACTCTTGTTTTTCCCCAGTGAAAAACTGCAGGTTCTAAAGGTTAAAGTCTCTGCAGTTTACAGATCTCAGTCAGGGTCACTCTGCTGTGTCCAGTATCAGTATGTATGAATCCCCCCGGACCCCTCTGTTCTTCTGTCTGTCACTCAGAGTTGGAGAAAGGCTGGTTTAATGAAGGAAAAGAAAAGAAACTTCAGTAGTTTCACTAAATGTTTTTGAGACACTGTGAAAAGCTCCAATTTCACACTTGCGCAGAGCCTCCGCTCGGTAATTAGTTTCCTGGGCTTCGCTGTGACCTTTTTCTATTGTTCCTTTATTTGAGAGAAGCCTATTTTTCTGCTCATCGTATTGTGTTAACTCTATTTAGTGCTACTGCCTCTCTCTCTCTCTCTCTCTCTCTCTCTCTCTCTGTCTCTCTGTCTCTCTGTTCTGAGACAGCCATGCAGGGTGTCTTTAATGACGTTTAGTGGACAGCAGGACAGACAGAGAATGAAAGTTATCCTGTGTCTCAATTCAGATACTGAGTACCAGAGACTCATGACTCGACTCAGACTCGCACCCCAGAGATTCTTCTTGGACTCACATCTCAGAGATTTGACTCAGATTTACACCTCAGAGATTCGAGACTCAACTCGGACTTGCACTTCAGCGATTCAACTTGGACTCACACCTCAGAGACTCGCACCTCCGAGACTTGAAATTCAAGACTCGATTTGGGCTCACAGCTCAGAGATTCTTGGCCTCACACCTGAGAGGCTCAAGATTTAACTTAGACTCACATCTCAGAGACTCGACTCAGACTTCTACCTCAGAGATTCGAGATCCGAATCAGACTCACACCTCAGAGACTCAAGATGCGACTCAGACTCGCACCTCAGAGACTCAAGATGTGACTCAGACTTGTACCTCAGAGATTTGACTCAGATTCTCACCTCTCAGACTGAAGACTGAACTTAGACTCGCACCTCAGAGACTTGGACTTAGACTCGCGCCTCAGAGAATTGACTCAGAGACTCAGAGTGGCACCCCAGGCACTCAGACTAGAGCCTCAAACACTTTAGACTCAGACTCAAATCTCATAGACTTGCACTTCAGAGGCTGGAGACTCAGCATGGACACACCAGAAACTCAGAGTCGCACCCTTAGAGACTCGATTGAGATTTGCGCCTCAGAGACTCACCTTTAACTTGCATGAATCAACAACTCTGATTCCTACACACTACACTCGTACACTTTTCTCCAGGGTGGTATCACCTCAAATGAAAATGCTAAACGCTAAACAGAAGTGACTCATTATCATGATTCCTCATGTTATTGAATCCCACCTGAACAGTCTGCATACTAATCAGATCACCACTGTAATATGCTGTTCCTATTTACAACACTTCAAACACGTTTAAGGACTGAAAACACAGAGTGGTGAAGTGTTTCAGGTGTAATTCTGACAGATTCTTGACAGGGATCTTCGTTGTGGCATTTTGCATTTTAAAATGCGCCACACATTCTTTCTTGGGGACGGTGGGACTGCAGGCAGGCCAGTCCAGCACCTGTACCCTCTTCTTCCACAGCCAGACCTCTGTAATGGGTGCAGAATGTGGTTCTGCGTCACTTCGTTGAAATACGCTGGGCATCTTTGGAAAAGATGTTGTTTTGAAGGCAGCATACGCTGCTCCAAAATCTCTCTGTACTTTTGGCATTAATGGTGCCATCACAGAAGTGTGAGTGACCTTTGCTGAGGGGGCTGACACACCCCCACACCATGACTGACCCCGGCTTTGACCCTGACCACGGTGTCTGTTTCTTCCAAACAAGACCTGAAATACCGATTCATCTGACCGCAGTACATGTCCACTATGTGATGGTCCATCCCAGACGCCCCTGAGCCCAAAGAAGTGGGCGGCGTTTCTGGACACGGTTAACAGTAACAGGTTTCCTTTCGGCGCAGTAAAGCTTTAACTGACATTTGTGGATGTAACTATGTTTTGTAGTGCTTGACAAAGGTTTGCTAGAGTAATCCTGAGCCTGTGTTGTTCTATCTGTTATAGATGAATGAGGTTCTTGATGCAGAGCCGTCTGAGGGATCGGAGAGCTCAGCTATTTAGCTCAGGCTCGTTCCCTTTATGCATTGAAAATCCTCCAGATTCCTTCAGTCTTCTAATGATGTTCTGCATTGTAGAGGCTGAAAAATCCAAATCCTTTCCAATCTTTCTTTAAGGAACATTGTTCTCAAACATTTCAATCATTTTCTCACGTTTGATGGCTAATTTGTGATCCTCGGCCGATCTTTGCTCCGAAAGGATTTTTTACCTGATTACAGGGCCCATCATTTTTTAGAATGCGCTGCATGGATGTATATTTACAAATGAAATGACATTGAGTGAAAAAACATGAAATATCTTGTGTTCATACTGTCTGCAGTGAAATACAAGTCAAAGTAAATTGTTAGAAATCACTGCTTTCTTATATTTTCCATACCGTCCCAACTTCTTCAGATTTGGGGTTGTGTTTTAAGCTCTGCACAGAATATCCGCTGAAATAAAGCAAGGCCTCCACCTTCACCTCTCCAACTCCAGCTCTCAGCAGCTGGTGATTCATCTCGCTGTTCGGTTTGGAATGATTCAGATACTTTGCAAACTAAGATGCTTTCAAACAGGCGAGAGAAGATTTGAAATACAATGATAATTAATTCAGGTAAATTCCCTCATGTTAGCTCAGTGATTATCTCAGAAAAGAGTGAAAAGCTCCACACTCACTTCCACCTCCATCTCCTTTACCTTCTTCTGAGTCTCTGTTGTCACCATCACCTCCTTCTCCACCGATTCCTCCACCTCCTCTTCAGCTCCAGCTCCACGTCCACGTTTACCTCCTCGAGTGTAACATGTGATCACATTGTATTACTGATGGAGGAACGTGGTCGGAACATCTCTCGGTTCATTTCAGAGAGAGAGAGGGAGAGAGATAGAGAGGGAGAGAGAGAGAGAGAGAGAGAGAGAGAGAGAGATCAATTGAAATGCAGTAAGCAGAAGGAATCCCAGTGTGCTGTTTGCTGACTGTGATTGACCCTAAGTGGAGATTAGCCTGTACAAACACCACTTAACACCATCACACACACACACCATCACACACACACTGTCTCACACACACACACCATCACACACACTGGGAGGGCAGTAGAAGGAGAGTGTGTGTGTGTGTGTGTGTGTGTGTGTGTGTGTGTGTGTGTGTGTGTTTGTCTGAAGCAGTTGGACTGAAGCCATAAGTCACTCTACTCAACACAGCACAACACAACACGCTACAGTGAGGAGAGACTGTGTTCACATCTGTTGTTGTTATTTAACCCTCTGGGCTCCACAAACTCACCCACACGTCAAACTGTCTGTCTCTATCTCTGTGTCTGTATCTTTGTGATGATCCAGCTCAGAAATCCAGTTCAGACACTTCCTGAATCTGTAGAGCCGCCCTTTCCATTCCATCTTATCACGAGATCATACGACACTCACATCCGGAGTTATGAGCCTATGAAGAGGGGCTGAGATACACGTCATCTGCCTCTCACCGTGTGGAGCTGGTGGATTGGTGTGTCCGTCTACATTCTGTGTGAAACTGACCAATGGTCACTCAGGAAATCACTAAGCACTGACCGTCACGCCAGCAACCCTTCATTCTTTATTCAGTCCACATCGGAGACGTTGTGTCATTGTAAAAGTCGTTGCCATTGGTTGGGCAGATTTGACGCAAGTAGCAATCATGGTGAAGGTGAAGGACCTCCCTAAAGTTCTCAGGGAGAACATTATTAAACAATACTTTAGCAGCTCCCGAGTGGCGCAACCGTCTAAGCGTTGGCCCTCATCAGGAGATCGCGAGTTCGATCCCTGGTGATGCTACAGCCGTCCGTAGCCGGGAGTCCAAGAGAGCACAGTTGGCCTCGCTCTCTCTGGGTGGGTGGGATGGCCCCTCCCTCTCCCCCCATCACTCAGCGCAGGCGTCTGTTAGCTGACGTAACAGATCTGGCGGTTGGCGCTTTCCTCCGAGCGCGTTCGGCTGTCCAGTGACGTTGCGTGAGCGGCAGTTCGAAAAGAAGCGGTGGCCTCACAGGTCTCGGAGGAAGCCTGTGCTAGCCTTCACCCTCCTAGCGTTGATAGCATCGTGTGATTGGGGGAGACTAACTAGCGGGTGGAATTGGAAACGACAAAATTGGGGAGATAATTGGGTAAAAATCAAAAAAAAAACAATACTTTAGCACAAACGGCCACAGAGCCATCAAAGAGACCTTAAACATCCCTGTCAGTGCAACTGCTTCGATACTATGCAAGTGAAAAGTTCATGGAGCCACGACTAATCGTCCCTGGACAGGTGCACCATGCGAAAAGCCAGCGGTCACTCAGGAAGAGCCGCAGGACCTGAAAGTAGCAGGACAGGAGTTACTCAGTGAACAATAAGCAGTGAGCTGCAGCGCAAACATCTCCATCCTTACACCCTTCACAGAAATCCTCTACTGAAATAGAACCACAGAGATCTGCATCTACAATTCACCCACAAGCCTTTAGATAAATCAGAACTTTACTGGAACAGGGTTCTCCAATCAGACGAAGCGTAATAATTCAGCTCATCATGTTTGAAGCGAGAGAGAACTCCACCAGTGAAGTATGGAGGTGGGAGCATCATGATATGGAGCTGCTTCTCTTCAAACAGTACTGCAGCCTTATGCTCCATCAGAGGAAACGCAACGTTTCGACATGACAACGACCCCAAACATGCAGCCAAAGTGACTCAAACCAGGTTCCTTAAACAGAAAGGTGCTGCACTGAACAGCCATCTCCACTGAGAATGTATGGAAGATTTTGTGAGTTGATCAGAGAGATTCTTGTACTGCTGAGGAACTGAAGGTGGTTTGCTGAGAGGAAAAGTAAAATGCTGAAAGATCTGATGGCTTCTTACCGTAAACGTCTCAAAGCTGTGATCACAACAAAGTACTAATATTATTATTTATTTGTGGTGTCTGAAAATTTTCCCTATCGATTTTTTAAATCTATCTTTGTTGATGTTCACAAATACATAGTTCTGGTTGATGTTTACAAATACAAAGTCAAAAGCCGTTATGTGTGTGAAGAGGATTTACACACTGGAAGTTTATTAAATTACACAAAGCCTCTGGACACGTTTACCTTGGTTTTTTACTTGATTTTGTCAGACTGTAAAAACTACACACTCTGCAGATTCATACTGGATTAAAATCTCATGACTAATTGCATAAATTACAGAACCAACCTAGAGAAAATGAATCCAGCTCCAACAGGACTTTAGACAGAGATGGTGGTGGAAAATATTCTGTTCATCTTACTGATCCACAGCTCTCTCTCTCTCTCTCTCTCTCTCTCTCTCTGTCTCTCTGTCTCTCTCTCTCTCTCTCTCTCTCGTCTCTCTCTTTTTCTCTCTCTCTCTCCCAGGTTTAAGCTGCTGAGTCAGGAGGAGGGGGAATACTTTAACGTTCCTGTTCCTCCGGAGGGAGAGGAGGGCAATGAGGAGCTCAGGCAGAAGTTTGAGGTGAGAGTTCAGCTTCTTCTCTAAGTACGTTTGAGTGTGTAAAGTATTATCGCTGCTGTAAAAAACCTAGAAAGGAGAAGGAAAATCGATCTTCGTGTTTTAAAAGATCTTGATGTAATTTTGTGCCATTCCTCACAAAATGTTCACACAGTGCTGGACTTCCATTTTCAAATGGTCTTAGAAAACGTTCAATTACAAGTAGTTCTAATGACCCTGGCAGTGTGTGATAAAGAGCCGTCTACTTTAGTAAACTGTTTATGTAAAGATAGTTATGAATATATATTACTGTGGATATCACCTCCTGGGGGGTCGGCGGGGGGTGTGACCACTGCACAGACCAAACGCCACAAACCACTGTGATAAAGTGCAGCTTTCTCAAAGCTTAATCCATAGAGATATTATAGAACCTGGAGAGAATCATTAGCGTTAGCATTAGCTCAGGGCTCCTGTACTGGTTCCAAAATTTGAGTCAATGATATGAGTGATTCGAGTAAAGTGACTGGCCGCACTAGAAACACTGACAAATTACGGTTGGCTGAAGGCATCATGTTCTATTCGGCAGTGATGACAACAGACAAGTTGGGCCATTAGGACAATGAGCCATGATGATAAAAGAGAAAAGGTCATTTTGAGTTCATGTCTATGGAGAAACACCTACCAGGTAGGTTTCATACTGTTAGACCACTGGGGTGCAACCAGTATACTGATCCAGCCAAATCCCACCTTCAGCTAAACTGTACCACCTTCTACAACCCCACCCTAACCAGAGCCCCCTCAGCCAAACCCTACCCCAACAAGAACCCCCAGCCAAGGCCAACCACAACCAGATCTCCAAGTCAAACCCCACCCCAACCAGACCCCCATCAGCTAAACCTCACCCCAACCAGACCCCTTCAGCCAGACCCCACCTCAGCCAGATCCACCAGCCAAATCCTACCCCAACCAGACCCCCTTAGCCAAACCACACCCCAACCAGACCCCCTTAGCCAAACCCTACCCCAAACAGAACTCTTCAGCCCAACCCCACCCCAACAAGAACCCCCAGCCAAACCCTACCTCAACCAGACCCCTCAGTCAAACCCCACCCCAACCAGACCCCACACCAACCAGACCCCATCAGTCAAACCCCACCTCAGCCAGAACCCCTCAGCCAAACCCCACCTTAACCAGACCCTATCAGCCAAGCCCCACCTCAGCCAGATCACCAAGCAAACCGTACCCCAACCAGACTCCACCACAATCAGACCACATCATTCAAACCCCACCTCAACCAAACCCCCCCCCAGCCTAACCCTATCCCAAACAGAGCCCCCCCCAGCCAAACCCTGTCCTAACCAGACCCCCTCAGCCAAACTCTACCCTGACTAGATCCACTTCTGTGAACCCCCCACCCCCATTCCAGTCAGTGGTAACCTGTCTCCAGGCTGTGTTACCCAGTCTGAATAGAGACTCTTTCTTTCTAGAGAATGAATTCAGTAACGACTGCATGAAGCTCTGTTTAAACTCTGCATTTACAGTCAGAGCGTCTGCAGTGCGTCTGTCTGTCTGTTTCTGTCTGTGTGGCAGGAGCGGCTGGCTGTGGCCCTCAGCTCCTATTGTTATGATGCATTATGTAGAATGTGAGCAAATGACCGATCTGCATCTGAGCTGATGGAGGCTTTCACTCAGCACTGAGGACCAAACTCATTATCTCTCTCTCTCTCTCTCTCTCTCTCTCTCTCCTCTCTCTCTCTCTCTCTCTCTCTCTCTCTCTCTCTCTCTCTCTCTCGCCTGTTCAGTGTGATAAATCAGCTCTGTTGGTGGTGTTTTTAGAGCCCTGAGTTGGGTCCATTGCTGGTGCCTGAAGCTGAACCCCAGTTATGCTACAGCCGTCCATGACTGGGGTCAGAGAATGAGAATGGGCTCTCTCCCCAGACCTGCTGTCAGACCAAACACCAGACACCATTTAAACCACAAAACAGCTCAGGTTTATTTAGGTTTTCTTAAGAGTCTAAATGGTAAGATGGTGGTTATGGGATGGTGGCCTCAGGGACGAGCGTACGCCTAAAACAAAAACACTGAAAGTTTTAAAAACTAACTGAATCTGAAGATACAGTGAAACAGAAGTACAAAAGGCCACCCAAACCACCTACTTAACAGCAGGAGTGGCACTCGTCCCCAACTTTTCCCAAAGGTTCACCGAGTCTGATAAAGCTTTCACAGATTTAATGATCAATTCGAAGCACAGCGAGGCAGAGTCAAGTGAAGAGTGCCGGGCTGGTCTGGACAGGTGTACGTCCAGGTCACATCAGAGGGGAGAGAGCCCTGAACGTCTCCGAGGTTGTGGCTTGATGACCTCGTTTATACAGGAGGGCGCCCCCATGTGGCCAATCTCTGACCTGCACATAATCCAGAAAAAGAGGGAAAACACACACTTCGAGGGTCCCATTTCTCGGCTGCATACATCATAAACACTCTTTCATTTCAAAAGAACACAGAGGATCCGTAAAACACGGCAGAGAAACGGGACCGTTTGTCAGCTGAATTCTGAGGATTTGTGAAAATTTATACCAGTTTACCACATAAACAACTGTAAACGTTGTTACAGTCCTGTCTTTATACGGATGACCAGCTACTTTTTTAGCCTTGCTGTGTAAAGTTGTCAGCATCTCAGTTTTTCTAGTTTTTCTAGATACTGAATGATTCATAGTGGATACTGAATAATTCATAGTAGATACTGAATAATTCATAGTAGATGCTGAATAATTTGTAGTGGATACTGAATGATTCATAGTAGATACTGAATAATTTGTAGTGGATACTGAATAATTTGTAGTGGATACTGAATGATTCATAGTAGATACTGAATAATTCATGAGTAACTGCAGTAATTCTGCAGTTTAAGTTTATCTGTCAGGCACACAGAATGGAAATACGTGCGTGCGCATGTGTGTGTGTGTGTTTG